CTGTCTTCTGGTGTGTCCACAATAAACTTTTATTAATTATGACTTTGGTGTTGTATTAGTTTTGTTTCTGTTATTTTAAACTTCTGATGGTTCGTGGCATCAAAAGTGTTATCCAAAGAAGACTCCCCAACAACTCTGAGGTGAGTGAACAAACAGGTGCTGGTACCCACAGAGACCTTTGAGTTGCTGGAGTTTGAGGGTAAATTCCTCATGGTCCTGAGCTCTGTGTTGTCTTTGACTTTTGAACTCTCCAACTTGATGATGCATACCTGTAGTTTGTTCATTGACGATTCTTGGGAATTCTCCCTATTCTGTTCAAAGGGGGAGAAAACACATGATTCCCTGTGTTTTGGAACACCTGTTAAGAAACAGCTCACACTTAAACATCTTAGGGAAGCTAGACCAAGAGGGGCTCCACCTGGTCTAAAGCTCTTCACCTCCGTCAGAAAACTCCTGCTCCATATAGGTATAACTACTATGGACCAGATTTTGTGTCTTTTTGGAAAATGGGTAAACTTTTGGATAATTTGGAATTGTAGTGCCCACTTTGGGGAAACTTTACCTTAGATACACAAGTCTACTTTAGGGACACCCTTGACAAGAAAGGATCTCAAACCTCACAGAGACAATGGAATGCATGCTTTGGTATGCAGAAGCACCTAAAAGACAAAATGGCTCCAATAAATATTTACAGCATGTAAATAAAAAATCTTTAGTAAAAATCGTTGGCCATGTGAGCAGGATACCTTAACTTAGTCCATCTACCAGAAACACAGTTTTGTTCTGACTGTTCTCTTATAAACTAGTGAGATTTGTATTGTACCTGACTCATGGCTAAAATTTTAGAATGAAAACTATAAGGTTTCGGTTTGCATCTCTCCATATGTTTACGTGTGTCTGTATATGTATATTATAGATATGTGATATTTTTCTACTTCTGGATTGCCAAAATTAATTTGTAAAAAGGAATTTTAATACCAAAAGCATGCAGGTGCAAAATTAGAATTTGTTTTTCACTATGTTAAAAGGATAGATTTCTGGGATTATTGGTAGATGGACTTTGTGGTTATAATGCTAAGTGACGTAGGTCAGACAAAGAAAGACAAATACTTTATGTTCTTACTTATATGTGGAATCCAAAAAAAAAAAAAAAAGAACAAGCTCATAGGTATAGAGAACAGATGGCAGAGGCGTGTTCAAAATGAGTGATGGAAGTCAAAGGGTACAAACTTCCAGTTATACGGTAAGTCATGGGAATGTAATGTACAGTATGGCAACTATAGTTAATAGTACTGTATTGCATATTTGAAAGTTGCTAAGAGAGTAAATCTTAAAAGTTCTCATCAAAACAAAAAAAGTTTGTAACTATGTGTGATGACGGAAGTTAGCTAGACGTATTGTGATGATTATTTTACAATATAAACAATATAGAATCATTATGTTGTACACCTGAAACTAATGTTATGTCAATTATATTCAATTAAAAAAAGTTCCATGAAATATTTTCAGTATACTTAGAATATGTCACTTGACTATGCTTTCTACTGAAAACTTATAAAATGCCAAAAAGAAATTAATTTTAATAAAAATTGGATTTCAGAAAATTGATGAAGTGAACTTTTGCAGTAACAGAAACAATATTCTATTTTTTATAAAATACTTATTTGGCAATAGCAGCACTCTAACAACTTTTTTTTTTTGCATTATTTCTTTAAATAGTCATGATCTCAATGGCTAAATTTACTCCTATATTTGAGTCAAGTAATTTCACCATTAGAGAGCAGTAACATTCTAGTTGTCTCTTTGGAGGGTTGGCATGACATCAGGAAATAGAAAGCCAGCACCTGCCAGACGAGTATGATGTGAACAGAGCTTTAACTGTATGTTTAATTCACTGGTTAGAATTTGGAAGAACCAACGCTTGGCACCTTCAATGGTGCCTCCAATGGCAACAGCCACTGACAGAAGGTCTGTAAATCTACATCTATCACTTATATGAAGTTTAAAGTCATCCTCCTATCCATCAATGATAAAAGCCATATTCCTGCAAATGTAGAATTGTAAATGTTAGAGTGCTTTTGATCAGCTTGGAACACTTGTCTAGCTGCTTGGCAATAGTAGTCTCCTAATTTTAGGCTGTTTCTCTAAAACTTTTGCTCAAACAAACAAATTGAAACTAAAACTCTCTCATGGGATTTATGCTCTTTGCCATCCTAGTAAAAGAAAAAGATTGTAAATTTGTTCCTTATATTTCTGATAGAATTGGATGTAAAACTCAATGATACATCACCATTTTTAATTAAAAAAGATTGTTTTCCTTATGAGCCCAACCCCTGAAATCATTCTTCGATTTGCATGGGACTCCTGAGAAATGCTTAACCTGGCAGTTTTTCAGGATTCAATTCTGGCTGGTAAAGTACTCAATTTTTGTTACCTACAAACTAGGTAAATGGTAAACACTTTTATGCAAATTAATGTTTTAAATTTTTTAATTTTTGAATTAATTAACTGATATGCATTTTATTTAAATAAAATGAAAAGATAAACATAAAATAGATTGATAATTGAATAAATATCAATATGTGTCTGAAAAAGATATATCACTCAAGTCTTTCAAAGGTTTATAAACACAGCCATTGGAATTTGCTTCAAGCTAAAAAACTTGGCATTCAAAGTTGATGGTAGGGACACAGGCAAATTGCTTTTCCAAAGAGCTGTTTATATTGGTTAAGCTGCTTCTTACATGTAAAGCAGTGGGGGAAAGGTAAAAGACAAACACTTTCTCAGGCTTCTCATGATTTTTTTTTAATCTATTCTGTGCAAAAATATGGCTTACAGTTTATTGCTGAAATGTAGGAACCTGAAGATTCCCAGTCCACAGTTTTAAATATAACAAATATCTCAATTTCTTGCAAAATAATAACTTCCAGAACTTTAGTACTGAACTATTAACAGTTATACCCCTCCTACTCATGCAGAGAAATTCTCACAAGAGTCATGGACCCCCAAAAAGCCCAATTGAAACCACACCATGACAATTCATTGTTTTTATCATAAATAGATAAACCAATAACGTATACGTTTTCTTCTTTGAGGCAAGAAGCTGCAATAATCATTTCTCCATAATAATTTCAATTTTATTAAAATGTTTCTGAAAACAATAGGTCATGACAAACCCATGTTGGCATCAGATGTTATCTATTTCCACCTTGAAGTTTTTTTTCTTTATCTTAGCAAAGCTGTGAAATAATATTTGAGATTCTAGAGGAGGTGAATTCCTTAGTGCAGTTTAAGTTTAATTTTTCAAAATAGCAAATGATTTTCTATCATAATTAAAACTTAACCAGTTTGCTGAAGCAACAATTTTGTCTACTAACGTTTTTAATCTGAATCTTTGAACCTTCATATTCATCATCTTCCTTTACCCACTTCCTTGTCTAAAACAGGAAGAGTTTACTGGATAAAAATAAATTTTCTTTTGAATCAAAGTTCTTTATCATCATGGTTTCTCTATATTACAGATGGAGATGTTGATGATGTAGGAGTTTAGGATAAGTATGTACAGGCCCAGAAAAAAGTCCTAAATGTTTAGATTTTTAAAAATTGAAAACCTTATTGGAAGTTTACTGTTTCCTTTTTATTTTGTTTTCCTTCTAAAGAAAAACTATAGAAAAATAATTTAATTCATTGAATATTATTTAGTTAGCTATGTTCTCTGTTCATAAAAATTTTAAACCAACATGTCATGAGGAGGTGAGAGAGCAGGGCAGACTAGTGGAGATTGAAGCACATTTTCACATCATCTTGAACTTTGGATAACAAAAGGACAGATTAGACCACATAATGAAAGTCATGGTTCACTAATCAAATTAGCCTAAAAAAATTGTTTTCCCCTTCTCACTTATTCCCCTTTTGGCTAAGAGAAAATTAACTCTTAAGTGATCAATTTGACAAATAAACTCCAGAATAGCAAGATTTATCTGTGGAAAATATATCTAGCAGCTGAAACTCAGGAAGCTCCTTATTGCCTGTTGGGCCAGAGAGAGTCTGTTCCAACATTAGCTCCAAAATCCCGTGCCAAATTAATTAATACATTGATATAAATGGTTGTCTACTTATACTGGAGGATTTTGAGTGATGGACATTTACCACGATGATGTGTCTTTGATTTGCCATTGGAAGCTCTCTTTAGTCAAATCAGTTATTGAGTTCTCACTTTAGAACTCTGTGGTCTTGTGTCCCCTTTAGTATTCTTATTATTGTCTGTATGAAAACATACTTATCCCTATGCAGCGTGAAGGGGAGATGAGAATGGGGTAGTCTTTATTTGACTTCTTTAATTGACCTTTGAAACTCTTCATCTCCCAACCCCCAATTTGTGACTTTAGAAATGGGCTACCTTACATGTTGCTTCTCCTGTTTATTTTGCTGGGATTGTGTACAGTCATTATTTTTAAAAAAGAAAGTTTAATTTCCATCAACAATGGACATTGCTATATAGACAAGTTGAGCCCATTTGGTATAGATAAATTGAGCATTGAAGGCATCTACCATTATTGTAATTTTTTTCAGTTGAGTTGAATCACTATGGTAGAATCAGGGAAGTCAACCACAATCTTCAGACACCTTGACTATCTTAAAGAAACAAAAATTACCTTCTTGCAATCCTTTGCTAAATAAAGACTTTATATAGGAAAAAAAACCAGAAAACAAAAACGAGTTATAATTAATTTAGAATACCTCAATTATCTCCTTATGTTCATTGATTTTGATATTCTTGAATAACTAGCACGACAATAAACCAAAAATGTGTGCAATGCTGTATGCCACAACTGTTTCCCAGGCTTGCGACTGAAAGTCCTAAATTGTTTTGACTGGGCAACTAATAGTAATTTAGATAGTTCTGTACAAATTTAGAAATATGAGATGCAAAACCATGACTGTATTCCAACACATTCTTCTTGTCAGAACCATTTAAATCACCATCTTACACAAGTACATATTGAAACTCAACTTTAAGCATTTTATTTTTATGTACATTTCATTTTGTCCAGAAATAAAATATCTAAATACAGACAGACTGTAATGTTGTATATGTATAGTTTTCAACAATACTTGAGCTGAATAAATGCTTTGTACATTAAGTTTGTCTTTTTAATGGAGTTCACAGCTACGTTGATAAAATGGTTCCTCATATCCTTTTTTTTCTTTTTTAACCAATAACAAGCAGAGAGACAAGTACAAGTTAATATTAATAAGCAGCTCAAATAACACTTGGTTGAACTATGTACAATACAAACCATTCATACAAATGAAGACTAGGATATTGAATTTGTTACAATATGTGTAGTAAAGATAAGACAGACACTTATAACTTACATGGTGTCTGTCAGGCATTTCCCTTCTTATATAATGATCAGAACTTGTTTTAAGCAGCTTTAGCTGGTCTCAACTTTGCAAAAGTCCAATGGTTGGTGATGAAAGCTGTAATCCAATCTCTACCCACATGTAAATTCCAAATGTTTGCTCATCTTTACTGAGAACAGGCTCCCTCCACAGAAAAAAAGAGCCATCTTGTAACACCTTGAATGTGCCTACTGTATGCTGGGAAAAAGTTACTACACTTTGTTGTGTTCATAAAATAAAGAATACTGAGCTCTAAAGACATAGTTTTTTTCCATTTTAACAAGCATATACTCCTACAGTAGTATTTACCAGTACAGCTACTCCAAGCAGCAGGAATGCATGAGGGGGGACTATTGATTAGCATGTACTCAAGACTTTAAAAGAGATTTCCACAACAGCAAGGGTTAGAAACCATTCACTGTCTAGTTAATCCTTTTGCTTCATGATAGTTTATCCTGAACTGCTATGAATCAGACAATGAAAGCCCTCTCAACAGGAATCATGACCGATGCAGGCTGAAATGCATATGAGTGTGTGTTTGTGTACATCTAGGTGTGCGAGCATGTCTTCAAGGGTGGCTTTAAAAATCTGTGGTGATTTACAACTATACTGAGAGATGAAGCTGACTGGGCAGAAATTACATCAAATTGTTTTCCACTAGCATATGTGCAGCCAGTTGACGAGAGCAGCAGTGTAGACACATTCCAGGCAACAGATGTGACCGTCTTCTTTGAGGTAACAGCCCTGTCATACGACCTTTTAATTTCTCAGGCTTCAGTCTCACCCCCGAGTTCATCCTCATCCAGAGGGGAAGTAAGGTGTGTCGCTGTGGTAGTTATAGTCAGGGCACACTTTCTGTACTAGTTTATAATCGGTACTATAAAAGGAAATGTAAATACAGATCACCTTAAAGGGCTTGGAGCAGAGCCAGGACACGTGACTTTGGGTCTGCTCCTGGTAACAGGTTTTTGAAGGGTCATAGTTGCAGAGTGTGTTCTTGGTAGCCTTGTCAACCTTTTCATATTCAATGCGACAGTTAAAGGACTTGGAATCTTTGGCATCAATCACGGTTTGTTGTGCCAAATCGAATTCCACGATTTTCGTAGGGGGCACCAAGCTGACAGATACATTCCCTTGACCGGTGGAATTATGCCTGAAATAAACACTAAATGTCCCATTGCCATGATCTACAATTTTCCCAGTTATCAACAGGTTTAGCTTCACTGTTTTGATGTTGGAATGAAAATCACCCCATCCGAACATTTTCTTAAACTTGCCCGTCTTAACGATGGGCCTTCTCTTGGCCCTGGGCCGAGGCTCTTGAAGGTCTGTGGAGTTCCTCAGCCAGTCCCAGAGGTCTTGCTCAGAATAAGGTTCTGGGGTGTCATACTGCAGGTCTAAATCTGTATCATTTTCTTTGCCACGAAAAGTCTGTGACAGGAGCCGGCTGATAGACAAGTCTTTGCTGCTTTCTGTCCATATGTGCTTTAGTGTGGATTTGTTGCTTCCTGATTTTAGAAGTTCTGACTTTCCACCATTTGTTAAGTTGGCGCATGTGACCTAAAAATGGAACAGAAAAATGGCATTTACATCTCTGTACCTGGAAACACCCAACACACAGATCCAAGCCCTTTCAAAGAGGCTCGGAATGATATGATGACACTTCTTCCTAAAGTTCCTTCAGCATCTGGCCAATGTTTATTAATATGTAACAAAATACTACTTACCATGTTTATTTTTACATGATAATGGGAGGGAAGAGGAGTAGGTGGATAAAAAAACTACTAAACATGGCCGAAAGACTATGTAAAAATATTGACTTTGATGAGCGAATGGCAACCTAACATGAATAAAGCAAACATAAATCAAATAAAGTCATTTTTTTCTCAGCACCAAAATCCTAACACTTTAAGAATAAAATTTTATAATTCATAATGTTATTTTTCTACTTCAAAATTATCATGTTTTAAGACAGTATGATTCTCTGAAATACCCTGACTGAATCCTAGAGACCTTGGGAGTCTATGCCACAATCCTGTTAGAATTCAGCTCTACAAAGAGGCTCTAGTATATTTTTAACTGGTCAAAACAAAATACTATGTTTATTATCACATATTATATGTAACAGTTTGCCTAAGATGCAATTTTTTATCTTAAGGGGTTAAAATGTTGTCTAGGAAAAGACATGAATACATTTGAATACACAGTGTCTTATAGATAGTTGCCAATATAGAGAAGCATAAAACACCCACAATGACAGAGAGGTCACTTCAGGTTGGACTGTGAGAGTCATTCAGAAATTGTTCTCCTGGGAACCCTCTCTTACCTTTCTTGGAAAGAATTAGATCCCCAACTAGACCAGGGAGTCAGGGACTCTAAATCGAACTGATTGGTCGAACAGCCAAGTCTGTATTTTCATAATTATATAAGTATTGTCCTAATAGCAGCCCCTTTGTAAAGATGGAAATACATATCTACAATGTCCTCATTGCCCTAAACTTAAAGCAGTGACTTCTGATTCTGACGTGGTGGGCTCAAGGACAAGAGGGAACAAAGTCAAGGACTCACAGGGACCAAATGAGCCAATACAGACAAATCCTTTAAGATGTGGACTGATGGCTCTAGGGTAAGACTGCTGAAAAGAATCCCAGCTGCCCATTAAGAAGCCAAGTTTCACTATAAACCTCTACCATCAGGCCCCTCCAGAACCAGCTCTGAGTCCTACCTCAAACATCTTGTCTCCTTCCAAACTGTTCTCAAAATGAGAGGTCTTTCCTGGAGAGCTTTTTAAACTCAGGCCCACTGGGAATTAAAGTTGCATTCTAGGGACCTCTTCATAGACTTAGTCATGAAGCCTCTTCCTAGGATACAGCCCCAGCCTTACAATAGCCCTTTACTCAGTCACTTGTACTAGAAGGACTCTATCCTAACCCCTAGGGAGTAAGAGCATGACCTTTAGAGCCAGTTGCCCTGGGATCTACACTCAGCCCTGCCACTTCCAAGCTACAAACCCTTGTTCAAGTCATTTAACCTCCCTCTGCCTCAGTTTCTTGCACCCATAACCTGAGAATAATAATGGTGCCTACCTCATAGGGTTGCTGCGAGGATTGAGTGACTTTGGACATGTAAAACCTTCGGCTCAATTAAATTTAGCTATTATTATGAAGCCCAAGCTGATATGTGAAGACAATTAGACAAAGAAGGCAATCAAATGGCATTCATGGAGGTCTGGCCTGAGAGTAGCTTTGCTCTTGATTATACAGACAATAATCAGAACCTACAGGGGATGGCTTCCCCCAAGGACATAAATGCAGGGGGCCTTGCTAATCTAAACTAGAACAAAGTCACTTAGATCTTGTAATCCTTCCTTTTCAAAAATGCCTTAGAATCAATGAGCTCTTTACTACCAGCTGTGAGCTAGCAAATAGTGTCTTCTCTGTCCAGTTCAAACTGTGGCCATGTAACTGATAAATCCCACCTGCAGAAAAAAAAAATGCCAGGTGAAGTTGGTTTCTTCTCAGTAATGCTGAGCTTAAGAAACCCTGCAAGTTTAGTCCCACAAAAATTTACTGCATCTAAGAGAAAATGAGGTTTATCATGAGATTATGTCCCATGGCTGCACCCTGAAAAGCCAAGACTGAAACACTGGGTAGGCTAACACAAAAGCTCTGTCAACTATTTCAGGCTGCTAGCCTGGGTCCCACTGCATCCACTGTGATACCCAAAGCAATAGCAATGCTTTCATAGAAAGATCCAGAGGCCACTGTGCACAGAGGTCAATTAAGGAAAGACAAACATGACGAATGGAGAAACAGATGCTAGGGGTGGGATGAGGCCCAGAAATAATGGACAGATTATGGTTGGGGTGGAGTCATGTCTAAGGGATGTACAGACCAGCCTCATTCACAGTCACTCTTTGAACTCTTAAACATGTCACTTAACCAAAATGAACAATCCCCCCTGTGTGGAATCGATGGCTGGCTATCAGATGGGCCATTGTTGATCTTGGGGAAAATTTTGGGAATTGAGAGAACGTTGTCAACATTCTTTCAGTTCCAGATGCTTCCCCTTCACTTTTGCTCCACCTTGAACTTGTCTCCTCTTTTCTCCTGCACCTAAACTGCTTCCATCTTTATAGATTCTTTTCATGCCAAAACTTCATTCCAGAAATGGATCACATTCAAGCAGTATGTGACTAATAATAGAAAAATGGTTGCTTTATCTAAATTCATTTTGTTTTTCAACAAGAACTAAACATTAACTCTTAAAGGGATGAAATTGAAAGAGAAATATTCTTTGGAGAAGGAGGTGATGCATAGAAACATACATTTTCTTAAGGATAAAAAAACATGACGTTTTCTACAGCTGAAACTAATTCTAAAAAATGTGTATTTCATAATAAAAAATAATTAAAAAACAAACAAACAAAAAATGAAGTTTTCCATCTATCCTCTCTGCCTGATAATAAAGCCAGTCTTCTATAGGATAATTTGTACTCTAATATCAAAAGCATAATCCTTTGTAGTTCCATAGTTAGTATTATATCACTATAATTACAAAACTAATAGAAACAACTAAAGCTTCTTCTACAAATTTACAAAAGGAAGTGAATTTCAAAATATATTATTTCTCTATAACACAGAGTAGCTATAATATAAAATTTAAAACAAACATTAATTGAGATGAGTAGAACAGACCTTTTGGTTTTGGAGTTTACTTTATATGTATCTATTTTTTTTTTGCTTTGTTTCAATGAAATCTAATTGGTCAAACATCCAAATCTGTACTTGCCTAATTATATAAGCATTGTCCTTAACATAGCCTCTATATTTATGCCCAAGTATAAAAGAAATTTAAAAAATAAATGCATATCTTATTCTCTCATTTTTAGTTGAAATTACATAGTTAGCTTCCCATTCTTTGGGTGGCAAGAAGAATAAATGCCGGCATGCATTTGGCATCAGCCTGATACTTGTATCTCAGCATCAACAGTTGATCAAGGAGAAGGGCTGTAATGAGACGCATCGTGGTGCACTGGCTCATGCAGCAGTAATGAAATTGTCCCAAAGAAGGAAGCGAGAGGGAATTAGAGTGCAATTTACCAGCAGCATATGGGGAGTGAAAGAAAATTCATGTGGAAGTGGGAGATATGATTTCAAGGAAAAAGAGCCAATATATTTAAAAGGATGCTAAGACCACATGACAGACAGACAAACCTTTGATTTTCAGGTAGAATAGAAATTTAGCCTAAATGATACTCTCCACCACAGTAGTAATGATTATGAGTGTGAGCTCTGGAATCAGGCTGCCCGGATCCAGGCTGAAATCTTTACCAGCTGTAGGGTGTGAGCAAGTTGCTTCACTTGTTTATGTTTCTCTCATCTAAAGAACAGGGGAATAATGTCTACCCCTTTTTAGAGCTGTTGTGAGAATTAAATAGGATACTCCATTTAAAGCACTATGACAGAGAGTACTTGGACCATAGTGAGTGTTCAACATCAGTATTACTAACCACCATCATTCTCTGAATCCCACTGGGTAATATTTTATGTAAATGCATTACTTATAATAGTTTGAGACCAAAAATATTTTTCTAAGAAAACTTTTTTCTAATAACCAAACCTAAAGCACATACACACACACAAAAGCATACACTTTTGAAAGTGCTGCTATGACAGCTAACAACAACAACAAAAAGACTAGTTGAGTAGAGAGTAACATTTAAGTTAACACAGGGTGTGCATAAGTTCAGCTATTACACTGTTTGACTACCAAATGCATTGGATTTATTTTCCTTCAGTGGTGTGATGTGCAAGGCTTCCAGTGGTGCCAACCGTCAAGAAAACACTGAAACATCTCAGTCTGGGTATGGCATCAAAGCAGGTTTCAGCTGTGATCGTCAACACTGCCTTAAAAGTTCTTCTCCTCTCGTCCCTTTCCTTTCACTTGGGTTAGCAGAGAAACAGGGCAATGTCCAAAGGAGAATATCAATCGTAAAACACCAGGAAGGGTCCTGAGGAACGTTGCCAGCCTGGTTCAGTATCAACAACCCCAATTTATGTTGCTTTATTGATTCAATAACTGTACAGCGAGGCTTTGCTAATATCAAGTTAAATAATAGGAATACAATGAGAAATGAGACATAGTCTTTGCCCTGAGGAGCTCACAGTCTAATGAGAGAATAATTTGCTTAATTGTAAGCAAATAACAGTGTGGTGTGACCCACACTACGTACAACATCCTAGGAGGCAACGTTAAAGGTAGAGAAGATGTGGCCGGCCGAGTGGAGCGATGGTTAAGAACTGGCTTGGCATGCCAGAGGGCCCCGGTTCGGATCCCACATATGAGGGCCAGTGACACTGCCCTCCACAGCTAAGATGCTGAACAACAGCTCAACCTGGAGCTGGGCTGCCGTGAGTCAACGGCGACGGCGTAGGCTGCAGCCCCCCTGGCAGTGGGTTGCCATGGGCTACTGTGTGTAGCCAGCAGCCAGCATGAGCGGCCAGCAGCCACAGTGAGCAGCCGTCCAGAAGCCGGTGACTGATCTGCCTCGCCCGGGA